ACTATTTGCCTTTTTTTTAATCCTAATAAGTAACATACTGCTCTTATCATAGGTGCTATCTTCATCTCTAATGTGGTGTTCCTTAACTAGTTATGAAATAGGTACAATAAAGTAATTTGATAAATATGACCTACTCTGTCTCTTTCCAGTCTGCTGAGATCAAGAACTGCCAGGCGAGATGCTGTGATGCATTGTGGGGTTTTTAGTATCAACAACCTCAGGCCTTCCTTCAGCCTTGCAGGTAGCTTCCAAACACACATATTTACACCTGATATAAACTGATTGATTTACTCACTGGTGTTAAATATCTTTGGTTTGATCTGAAGTGAATGTTAACATTGATGTGTGTAGGGTAGATGGCAGTCACTGTACTAGAACCCTCCCTGAGAAGTATGGTGTGCAGTTACTGATCTCAACAGCATGGAAGTTATTAGTAAGAAGCATGTCAAATATTCAAAGGTAACAGCTCTGAGATATAACTGAATATTTTTTGGTGTGTCCAACTGTATTTAACACGGCCAATAACCTAGAGCAGTACATCACCTGTGAGATCATGATAATGCTGAAGAACCAGGAGTGACAATACATCACCAGGTGGTGGGGAACAGAATGAAGTGTTTCTGGTTTTAAAGCACCGTCCTCCAGCATTTAAGAAATTGAAGGTCTTTAGTTTGGTTTTAAAAGAACACAGTGATGGGGCGAGTCTAAGATCAGCAGGTAGACTGTTTCAGGTGCATAGATGCTAAAAGCATCTCACTACACTTTGAAAATGATGTAGGCACATGGAGATTTCCAATGTGTGATCTACTGGGATTGTAAACTGACAGCATGTCTGAGATGTACTGTGAAGCCAGACCAGCAGGTGCTTTGTGACCAAGAGGAGGATTGTTTAAATTGTATCCTGAAAACAACAAGTAGCCAGGGAAAGTTTCAGAGAAGAGAGTTATGTGGTCAGATTTGTTGCTGGACCGCAGCAGTACTGACACTGACTGACTGACTGACTGACTGATAGAGTGAGTCAGTTTTTACACTTTATTTGAATGAGGATGTTTTACTTTAATTTTACGGTTTTTGTTTGTCCGTTTTCTTTTACAATTTTTTTTTTTACAGTGTACCCTCTCTGAAGTGGGACTAGTTGTACTGTCTACAGTCTGGGTGCATCCTCCTCCACACATCCACCAGGTCATGAGAGTGGACCAGCTGCTTTAAGAGAGGCCCTGCATGATTGCGATCTAAAGTCACATCTTCAGTGCAGTTAAAATCCCCACCCAAGAATAAAAAGTCCTCTGAGTTACAGCCATTTAAAACATCATGAACTTTAAGTAACTGCTTCCTCTCTGCACCGGTTGTTGGAGCATAAACATTAGGGCATTGGACAGGACTACCTTAGTGGCGGGTTGTGACAGTGGTAGCACCTGTTCAAAACTTTCGTTCATGGTGAGTCCTGTCTTGATGACTCGTTTCACCTTCTCCAACTGGTCAAGGAAAATGACCACGGCTCTGTTCATCCGGGCAGCTGATTTAACACTGCTGTGCCCGACCTTTGCCCCACAGACAGCCTGATGTCCTCGACACTGCAGGGGAACGTGGCAGTGATCTTTACCCGTGTCTGTGGGTTAGGGATTTAAAATCCCAGCCGGCTGTGGTGTCAGCATGCCACCAGCGAGATGGTGGTAAGGGGGAAAAGATCAAAACCAGAAACACAAAAAAACACCAAAAAGCACCAAATCTAAGCTAATGAACTGTGATTAATAAACTATGTGAAATTAAAGCCCATTTAAAGATAAAGAATCAAAAGAAAAGACCAAGAAAAAACAGTCGCTCGTTCACTTGCTCACACACCTCACTCCCAGCATGCACTCCGAGAGAGAGACAGACGGACAGACAGAGAGAGAGAGACAGGCAGAGAGAGAAACAGACAGACAGACACAGAGAGAGAGAGAAAGACAGACAGAGGAACAAGTTGAAAAAGGGAGTGCAACACTCGTTGATGAAGGAGGGGAGCTTCTGCTGCCATGGCAACCAGAGCTCCTGCTCTCAATCAGGTCCTCAGGGAGACCCCCGAGCTCTGTGTGTGTTTGTGTTTGTGTGTGTGTGCGCGTGCACACGCGCGTCTGGATATCGCATGTTATCCTGAAGAAGAGAGACTGTGATTATTGTGGTCTAAGCACACACACACACACACACACACACACACACACATACACATACACACTGTATTTAAGGAACAGTGCAACATTTTTCGATTCTCTAAAATTTCGATTTCCAGTTTCTCTTAGAGGTCAAATGTCACTCGTCTCTCAGCAGGTCAGTGTTGCCGGGCGAGTCATCGTAACCACGGCAGTGGAAGATCAAAACACCACACATGTCCCACAATGCACCTGACCTGTGAACATAGAGACATGAGAACGAGGTTGTCTGATGTAAACTGACCTGAAGATGAAAGTAAGGAGGGAGGAGGAGAGGAGAGGGGGGGCAGGAGGAGGAGGAGATGAAGTGAGGAGAGGAGAGGAGACCTGTGACCTTACCAGTTTGTATGTGTGTGTGTGAATGAATAAAGATACACCTGAGTGTTCAGTGGGTGGAGTCACCTGTGAGAGGTAACAATAGAGTGTGAGTGGTGATGAGTTCTAGTTCATCAGCTTCATCTTATTCACTTCCTGTTTGTTATCTGAGGGAACAAAGGTTTGTAAAAATATATTAACGAACAGGAGAGAGAAACTTGACCATCAATGTTCACAGACTAAGTCTGAGACCAGGACTCTGGACCAAGACCCCGACAGCAAGAGTTCCTAAGGTCCTGACTGATCCTGTTCTCCTGCTGTTGGACTAATCTGGCTCCAGATTTTCAGTTCTTCATACAGAAACGACAGTTTCACAAACCCCATCAGGTCCAGACACCGGGCTGAACCAGTCCCTTTCTCTGTCCATGACAGATTTATGACTGACACATCAAAGAATAATATTATTATAAATAATGATAATTATGATAATAATAATTATGATAATAATAATAACATTGATAACTTTATTTTTATCTTTACAGAGAATATAAACGTGTTGCTTCAGTCTGTAGAACTTTGCTCTGACACCTTGTTTTTCAAAACTCAGATAAAGTCTGGACCTTCACCTGCTGACTCAGGTTCTCAGTTGTAAGGTTCTAGGTTCTCAGGGTCTCAGTTCTTAGAGTATCAGGTCTAGGTTCTCAGTTCTTAGGTTCTCAGTTGTAAAGTTCTAGGTTGTCAGTTTTCAGGTCTAGGTTTTCAGTTGTCAGGTTCTAGGTTCTCAGGGTTTCAGTTCTTCAGGTATCAGGTCTAGGTTCTCAGTTCTCAGGTGACAGAAGGATGTAACCATAGATGTACCTTGTTGTTCTATTGGACAGACAGACAGGAGGCGGTGTCAGAGACGTGACTTTATTCAATGTGAGGAGTCGTTACAGTCAAACATCTTTAAAACAACAGAAGCAGAACGAGTGGAGCTGATTGGACACGTCAGCTTTGATTGACAGCTCTATAAATGTGTGAAGACATTTTTCTTTTGATACAAAACAAAGTTTGTTTCACCACAGACACACACACGTCTGAACATGACGACATTTATACAAAGATATAAATACAATATTTATAATCTGTATGATACAAAAGAGTTTCCTCAGTGAAACACTCAATCTAATCACTAAACCCACACAGAAGACAGGGGGCGGGGCTCAAGTGCTTGGGGCGGGGCTTGTAGAGTAGTGGGAGGGGCTATGATCAAAAAGACAACTCTGAACAAAGACGACGGACAGTTACAGTAGCCTATCAGGATGCAGGATTCTACAGTGCGAGCATTAAAAAAAACACAGACAGGTGGGGGCGGGGCTAAAAGAATGAAGGGGTGGGGCCAGGAAGGGGAGAAAGACAATTTTCATTTACTTTTTTCTTTTAGTTGATGTCTTCACATCATCATCATCATCATCATCATCATCATCATGAGGTCGATTAAAACAATTAAAGGCCCCAAATTAAAAATCACTGCTGGACTCTGATTGGCCGACAGTAGCAGAGGTAAACGACCTGGAGTGATGTCACAGTGAGGAGAGCCAATCAGGTGAATGGCGCTGCGTTCAGGTCGTCGTGGTGACATGGACTGATGATAGAGACTGAGCTATGACATCATGAAACCTGCTACATGTGGGTGTGTCTTCAGTGAATGATGTCAGAGTTCAGTATCATGAAGTTGATGAACAATATTTACAAAGTGGAAAATTACGATAACTCTGATGTGACACAAACGCACCATCATCCTCTGATGGAACCTTCCTCGCTCTCTAACAGGAAGTTCACTTCTTACTCACTTCCTGTAGGAAACACATCTCATTCTTGTTCCTTTCTTCCCTCCTCTTTGCTCACTAACTAGTTTCCTACCCTTCTTTCTTGTCTCCTAACTTGGCAGCATCCTTCCTTCCTTCCTTCATTCCTTCCTTCAGTCTCCTTCGGTCCCTCAGTAGGACTCTTGCTGATGGGTCTTTAGTAAACTTCAGTGTAAACTCTGGTCAGACCTGAAAACCAATCACAGCCTGTTTGTTGTATCTGATTCAAAACCTGATGGGAAGTCCTGCTCTGTGTGAAGACACTTCCTGTTTGTCCTCCCTCACTGAACGTCACCTGGAGTCAGGTGTGTGCAGGTGTTTGCTGAGGTATTTATCATCTGACAGGAAGACAACTTCACCTACTCGTCAGCACAGTGGTAACCACGGCAACCAGATGTCAACCATATCTTTTTAGTGTCTCTAAATTTTCTGTAATCTGGGGCCTTTAATGTAGAGGAAGTGATGTCACATCACAGGTGTGACATCACAGACCCCGCCCCCCAGAGTAAACAGCAGAATAATTACAGAGCTGAAAGCACCTGGAAAAAACCTCTGTACAAAAAGTCCTGTTCATTGAAGCTCCTCCTCTGAGGTGATTGGTGGTCTTGGCCAAGGGGGAGGAGAGAAACGAGGAAGCAGGGGAGGGGTCTTACATCGGAGGGACAACGAGGCCGGACATGGCTGCAGAGAGACAGACAAAGACAGAGAGACAAAGAGAAAGAGACAGAAGCTGTAAATGTTTCATCTGTATAATAACAGAACAGTGATTTAAACAGTGATGGTTGAACTGTCTCATCATGTTGACAGGAAGTGATGAGGAGGGGTTGTCACCATGACAACAGAGACAAGGACAGAGAGAGGACAGTAGGGGGAGAGAGAGAGAGAGAAAGAGAGAGTGAGAGTGTGTTTCCGAAAACAGGAGTGTGTGTGTGTGTGTGTGTGTGTGTGTGGGTGTGTGTGTGTGTGTGTGTGTGTGTGTGTGTGGTCTCTAGAGACCTGCAGCTCTGACAGTCAGAGAGGAGCTGGTATAAACACTGTGATCCTGCAGCAGCTGCAGATGATCCACTGATACATCAGCTGATCTGATCTGACCTGATCTGATCTGGTCACACAAACACACACTCACACACACACACACACACACACACACACACACACACACACACAGAGCGTGATAGAGAGACATAGAGACAGACAGAGAGAGAGGAGGTCCTCACATGCAGAACTTCATAATAAAATACTGAAATTTAAAAATTTATAAAATAATTTTAATGCCAAAGAAAATAAAACACATACATCTGAGGATCCAGTTTAAATTTGATAAACACTAGTGGAGGTTCATATACTGATTACTTATCTATAATCATTAACATAATCATTGATCTAATAAGTTGAATCTAACTTTATTATTCTGAGGGTAAATAAGTTTAATAAATTTGTATCAGTCGACAGCTGGAGCCTCTACAACTATTAATAACTCACACACACACACACACACACACACACACACACACACACACACACACACACACACACACACACACAGCGTGGGTAACCTGAGTACTGTTAGTATTGCATGGAGAGTGACAGGCCAATGCATGTTTTATTCACTACAACCCACAGATACATCCTCTAAACACACACACACACTGGCAGTTGGTGTGTGTGATGTCAGTGTTTCTGACAGAGAGGTTTGTTGAGTGTTAAATATTCATGTTGCTCTCTGCCTTCACTGAGGCAGAAAGGCCACAGTGTGTGTGTGTGTGTGTGTGTGTGTGTGTGTGTGCGCGTGTGTGTGTGTGTGTTACACATGCTGCAGGAAGCAGAGCTGATAAAAAACAGCAGCAGAAACAAACTGAAGATCATTTACTGTTAAACGGCTCAGAGTTCTGCTGCTTCAATCATCCACTATAATTCACTGATATAAAAATCAAAGAAGCAGAAACAAATCTTTTATCAAAGTTCACATTCATGTAATTAGATTCTAATTTTAGTAAATATTCATTAATTATTCATTTATCTTTGGAAGCTTGAACATATGTTGAACATATGTTTGTTTTCAGCTGTAAGACTCTGGATTAATGATAAGGTTTATTGGGATAATTGAAATGAGGATGTTACTGAACGAGGAGAAGAGCTGCTCTGACAATAGCTGGAGGAGGAGGTGAAAGAGGACCTGAGGAGTTATTGGTGTACCTTGCAACCCATTGGCGTTGTTGGCGGAGCAGTTTGGTGGAGGAGGAGGTGAAGCTGACGGTCGGACAACGGGAGCAAAGGCGCTCTTCTGTTTGACGGCAGCAGAGAAGGAAAAGACTCCATGAGAGGAGTTACAGTTGGACACTGCCATGGTCGGACTGGAGGGGACAACTGGAACACAGAGAAACCAGTTCAGAAACCAGTCCAGAAACCAGTTCAACCAGTTAAGAAACCAGTTCACAATCCAGTTCACAAACCAGTTCACTAACCAATTCAACCAGTTCACACACCAGTTCAACCATTTCACAAACCAGTTTGGAAACCAGTTCAAAAAGTTAATGTAGCAGTTCAGAGACCAGTTTACATTTTAACCTTGTCCAGATTTCTCTAATGAAACATGTGAAGTTGATCAGAATCTGGACCAGGTATGGACCAGGTCTGGACCAGGTCTTGTTCTGAACATGGACCAACATCAGGTTCAGGTTTAGTTAAACTAGAGGTGAAGAAAGATCAGTACTAGATACAGTTACCACTGAACAGTGAAGTACTTGCAGTAGCATTAGTATTAACTGTAGTATTTACCTTGATACTTACTGCCGTAGGGAGAGTTTGCAGATGACCCATTGAGGAAACCCGGGGATGTTGCCACTCCCAGGTTTGGCATGCCGGTGTTGCCATAGCCATTCATGCTGTTGCTTACTGTGTTGCCATAGTTACTCTGTTGGGGGGTGGAGCTTGGGACGTATCCCCGCGGCGACACACTGCTGGTGTTACGACTGTAGCCAACTGGAAGAGGACGACAGTGAGGTTGAATAAGACTGCAGTGACCTGCTGCTCAGTACTACTCAGGTCTACCTGGGTACAGGTACAAGTGGGGTACAGGTACAGATACAGGTCAACCTGGGTACAGGTAGAACACAATAGTTAGTCATGGAATTTCACAAGGTTCTGCGCTTGGACCGATACTTTGCACCTTATACTGTAAATGTTTCTTGCAATATTATCAGCAAGCACTAGATAAGAACCTGAGGTCTTGGCGACTCTGAGGTCTTGGCAACTCTGAGGTCTTGAGGCCTCTAATGTCTTGAGGACTGTGAGGTCTTGAGGCCTCTGAGGTCTTGAGGACTCTAAGGTCTTGAGAACTCTAATGTCTTGAGGACTCTAATGTCTTGAGGACTCTGAGTTCTTGAGGACTCTAATGTCTTGAGGCCTCTGAGGTCTTGAGGACTCTAATGTCTTGAGGCCTCTAAGGTCTTGAGGACTCTGAGGTCTTGAGGACTCTAAGGTCTTGAGGCCTCTGAGGTCTTGAGGACTCTAATGTCTTGAGGCCTCTAAGGTCTTGAGGACTCTGAGGTCTTGAGGACTCTAAGGTCTTGAGGCCTCTGAGGTCTTGAGGACTCTAATGTCTTGAGGCCTCTAAGGTCTTGAGGACTCTGAGGTCTTGAGGACTCTAAGGTCTTGAGGCCTCTAATGTCTTGAGGCCTCATGACTGTGTCATGTGATGTTTTTCTAGCTCCGTCTTCCTTAGTCCTGATCACCTGCAGTCCTTCTACCTGAGCTACTTCCTGTGACTCGTACCTTGCGTTGTCTCTGAGACGTTGACGGCCAGCTGTCCACTGAAGGAGTTAACTCCCATCATGCCATGGGAGGCGGTGTTGCCTAGCGATGGGATTTGGTTGTGGTTTCTGGGAACGCTGTACAGAGCCTCTGCGATGTCAGCCGCTCTCTTCAGGATGATCTCCTACAAACAAGTCACGTATGTCACATGATGACATGTTCAGACCGTCACACTCTTCTTCTTCTTCTATGATACAAACATCTTCAGGTTAAAGTTCAGGTTCACACACAGTTTGATTAATTTATTGGGACAGGAAGGGTTAACACATCCTCATCAGTGACACATACATCACTGACTGAGTTCTGAACACTGTCACTTCACCCGGTCTTCATCATCAGGTCACCTGTGTTAAATCTGATTGTTACTGAGCTAACCTTGTGGGGGAGCTAATCACACTGTTTCATGTTGAATCACACATACATGAAAACAACATGAGACCTTAAACACACACACACACACACACACTGCTGTTATTGTTACTACAGTTGGATTTACATTCGTTTACAACCTCTCTTCTCTGTTCAAGGTTACTCTTTCATTTCACTAGACCTGTGTGTGTGTGTGTGTGTGTGTGTGTGTGTGTGTGTGTGTGTGTCTGTTTGGGGCGATTAACTGGCGGGTTGAGAAGCGTGTCGGAGAGGGAGTCAGGAGGATGGAGGAATATAAAGCTCCCCTCCTCCATCAGTGTTTCAGGAGGTTCTGACTCATAAACCTGCAGGAGCTTCGTCCTGTTCACTGAGCATCATGGGAAATTTCTCCTTTCTTTTTTTTTTACAGGAAAATAAAAACACTTTCACATCTCTGCACGTATGAAAAGTCAAAGTTAAAAACTTTGACTAACAGATTTGTTCAGGCTCAGGTTCTGTCTTTGTTCTCGGGGATCCTGGGTAAAGGACCAGGTGAGACCTATACCAGGTGAGTCCAGGTGGGCAGTGAAGGTTTATCAAGTTTGATGCTAATTAACAAAAAGATCTTGGTGATGAGGAAGAGTCATTAAACTAAGTGTGAGCTGCTGATTCATCTTCACTGGACCCACAGACCAGGACCAGGACCAGGAAGAACAGAGTCAGACCAAATCCACCGCAGTGTGTGGACAGGTGTGCAGGTGCAAATGTTACCTGGTTGTTATGTGGCATCCCATAGAGTGCCTCCACCAGGTCAGCTGCTCTCTTCAACAGCACCTCCTACAACAGAGAAGAAGAGAGGAGGAGCAACATGAAACACCACAGAAGAAGGAGAAGAGGTCTTCAGATGACAGAAACATGACGTGAGGAAGGTTCAGCCTCTTCCTCATCACTCCACACAGACCTGATGTTTCTGTGTGATTGTGTGTATGTGTGTGTATGTGTGTGTGTGTGTGTGTGATTTTATGTGTGTGTGGTAGTTGACCTGATGGAGCTGATAGTATTAAACAGTTTTTATTCTAATCAAAGCTCAGTTACACCTCACAGAGCGCGCACACACACACACACACACACACACACTGAGCCTCTTTAACACTGAACCACTTCACTTCAATGAGCAGTGTTAAAATGCTGCCAAACAAACAGCTCTGTGTGTGTGTGTGTGTGTGTGTGTGTCTAATCAGGCAGTGACAGAACAATGCTTCATTTAGCCTTTATCTTAATTAAACACACACACTGAGTTAATCTGCTGCTTTTCATTACAAACTTCTTCAGGAGGGTTTCAATTAACCCCGCCCCCTCAATCCTCCTGCTCTCCTCCTCATCCCTCCATCATTCATCCATCTTCCCCTTTTCTTTCCATCTCTCCTCCTACAGTTTTCACTTTTTCATCTTTATATTTCTTTTCTCTCTTTTCTTCATCCTCCTTTTATTTCTTTGTTCCTTTTCTTTTCTATCTGTTGTCTTTTCTATTTCTCTGTATGTCCTCTCCCTTCACACCTCTTTTCTTTCAGCTCTTTTCTTGCATCTTTTTTCACCTGACAAACATCATTTCTCTGATCACAAATAAATGTTATGAACTGTGATTTACAACCTTTGACACACTATCGAGTTATCACTGAGACTGTGTCTATGTTGCTGTATAACACACACACACACACACACACACACACACACACACACACACACACACACACACACACATTGAGAGGGAAGTCATTTCTGTGAAGTAGCTTTCAGCCTCCGATCGTCTTTAATCTGCTCGTTTATGCAGAGCGACGTTCGAGTGTGTGTGTGATTTATTCACACACACACACACACACACACACACACACACACACACACACACACACACACACACACACACAGTGTTTACAGTGACAAATGAAAGCCTTATTATTACAAGTGTTTCACTGTTACCCAGTGAGATGACAAGCACCTCTCTCTGTGTGTGTCTCCCACACACACACATTAACAAGGTTACCACGGCGATACAGCTGGAGGTTGGGATGTCATCACTGAAGAGGAAACCAATTATTCTTTTTAATGCTCACACACACACACACACACACTAAGCCTCAGCAGCAGGAAATGAACCCTAATAGCAGCGACATGAAGAATAATTACAATGAAAAAAGTCTAAATAAATAACAGAATAAAGAGGGGGGTGGAGTCGCTGCAAGGGGCAGGGTTTATTTTTAGATCATTTTAACTAAGACACGTTGACCAGTAGCAGGTCGTTTGGCTCCTCCCACTCACAGGTGTGACTCATCAACATGTAGCTGCTCATATACACACTGTGTGTCAGGTGTGTGTGTAGTTCAGGTACCCTTTACTTTCTTATGGACAGAAACAGAAAAAGTAAAACACTTATTTTATAAATCAGATAAGAGAAACTGATAATCATGTGTGTGTGTGTGTGTGTGTGTGTGTTTGTGTGAGCGCATGCCAATCTCCTCTCTTGCCACATGACTGCACCTGCTGATTACCTGATTTGACTGTTTCAACCTCTCTGTTTGCCAATGGGCTTTACACACACACACACACACAGACACACACACACAGGAGATGATGGAATAAAAGGTAAACCAGTGTTTTTGGATGCGTGTGTGTGACAATGATGAATGTTGGGTCAGTTCATTTACATAGCATTGTCCTTGACCTTTCAACCAGGAACCTGGTCTTCATCAACTGGACCTGATTCAGGACTAGAACAAACAACCTCCACTCAAGGTCCTCTTACTCCAAAAGAGGAAGTGGACTCTGAGTTCTGAAAGCTGTTCTCCTGTACGAGGGACTACATGTGATTTAATATCATATGTTTCTTCTGCACACTGACAGACCAGCAGATCAGAACTGGAATCCTCCATGAACCGGATCCGAACAGGGACAGTAGTAGGACTTTATAAATCACTGAGCCTGGTTGGACTTTCGGGATCACCTCCAGTTATTAAAGTTTATGTGGTCGACAGTCGCTCTGCTGCAGCCGAGCACAAGGCATCATGGGTAATTGAATAAAACCATTACAGATGAATTATTAAAGACGTGGTGGGATGTGGTTTTCATTATGGAGCTAACAGCATGTCAGCTCACATCAGAGCAGCTGGAGACTGAACACACACTGCACATACACCACCACACACCTACACACAGGTCTACTGAGAGGCTGCTAGCAGCTGTTAGCATCAGAACAACAAGCTGCTGTTAGCAGCTGTTAGCATCAGAACAACAAGCCACTGTTAGTGGCGGTTAGCTTCAGAGCTGCTGTTAGCTGTATTATTATAAGCTTTCCTATTTCCACTGATTGAGTACTGACTGATGGAGCATCAACGTCTCCATCACCTGGAGCTCAGCTGTGTGACGACAGCAACAGACACTCACTTGTTCATACGTCTATATGTGTGTTTGGGAACAATACACAGTGTGTGTAATAAAGACAGAGCAGTGTGTGTGTGTTGGGGACCGAGTCTGTTTGTGTACACACACACAGTAGAATCAGCTGATGATTATCAGGACTCGGAGCAGCCAACCAGAACACAGACTGATGGAAACAACACCAACAATAATCACTTATTCTCTGTCTGTGTGTTTGTATAAAACGATTGTTTGTCTCAGTGTGTGTGTGTGTGTGTGTGTGTGTGTGTGTGTGTGTGTGTCTGTGTGTGTGTGTGTGTGTGTGTGTGTGTGTGTGTGTGTGTGTGTGTGTGTGTGTGTGTGTACCTTGGGCAGTCTCTCTGGGTCTCCGGGGTGACGGGGAATGACCTTCTGTAACCTCTGGAAGCCGTAATCTATGGTGGGTTCATTTAAGGCTGAGGGGGAACAGGAGGACATCATCACCATCATCATCATCATCATCACCATCATCATCATCATCTGATCTGTGATCGCACTTTGAATCTGTCAGACTTCTTCATCTCATTGTTTTCTCCTCCTCTTCCTCTCTCTCCTCTAACATCATGTACAGTTTAAACTGTGGGGAGGTGATAAATCTGTGTGTGTGTGTGTGTGTGTGTGTGTGTGTGTGTGTGTGTGTGTGTGTGTGTGTGTGTGTGTGTGTGTGGGTGTGTGTGTGTGTGGGTGTGTGTGTAAAGCCCATTGGCAAACAGAAAGGTTGAAGGTATGGAGGTTGAGTGCATGAATCATAATCCTGTCTTGGTTCAGCTGCGTTTAACAAGCTTTAGACTGAGAGACCTATACATCACAGTGTGTGTGTGTGTGTGTGTGTGTGTGTGTGTGTGTGTGTGTGTGTGTGTGTTCAGTCCTTGAAGACTCACAGGCCGGAACAAGCAGCAGTTATAAGAGTGTGTTAGCTCTCCAGATGTCTGTGTTATCTACAGCCTGCTCTGTGCGTGTGTGTGTGTGTGTGTGTGTGTGTGTGTGTCATTGTGTATTATCACCAGTGTGTCTGTTTAACCTGCTGTCTGTCTTTCCTTGTTCGTGTCAGTTGTTAAGATTCATTTCAAACCTATAATAATATGATGTGGTGGAGGTAACCCACACCTGTCCATCAAGTAAGCTCTGATTGTAACATGTAACCAGCCGTCACTCACTTCCTCTGAAGTCTTTATCTGATTGGTTAACTGTCGATGAAAGCCACCAGACTGTAACAGGCCGATCAATAAGGTCTGACTGTGCATCGCCGTGGTAACTGCTGGGTGTCCCAGCATGCTGTTCAGCTGAGATGCTGTTAATAAAGATCTGATCGGTTAGTATTGATCTGACATGACAGAAGGTATTGATCTCCCTCCTGTTTTCATCATCGTCATCATCAGTAGCTGTCATCAACCACACAGGAACCTCACACTCAGGTTCTGGTCTCTGGATCAGTTCTGGATCAGCTGAGGCTCATGGGTATTGTAGTATTCTCACAAATTAGGGAGCATTATTTTTGAACCATTTAACTTTATTGTGAAATATTGCTTTATTTTTAATCTATGCTTTTATCTTGTTGGTATTCATTTCCTGTGTCTTGGTAATCAGAGCAGGTTGATCAGAGGTCTGTAATATGAAGCAGGATTTGAGGTTATCGAGGTAACTTCAGGTTTAAATCAGGGTTTTCAGTCCTACAACAGTGGCTCACTTGTTACTGGGGTAAATCACCATGGTAACTGATGCTCAACTCCTAACCTGCTCCGGCACAGGTTAACTTCACAGCCAAACTGCTAACCAATCAAATCACCGGAAATCACCATTCCTGACAGGGACAAAAGAGTTCACAATAAAAAGTGATCAATAATAATGATCAATAGATATAAATACATATAAATCAGTGGAATAGTTTTCCTGTTTGAGTCTTTCCATGTGTCTGGTTTTAAACCAAAGCTTCTGCAGAATTCAAAGAGTTTATCACTAAATAAAATATAATCACTGTTAGAGCTTCATTTGACCTGAACACAGATTCTTTAATGGAGGATTCCTGACAGTGATGAAGCTTTTACTCTCCTCTTCATCACTGAGCTCAGAACAACATGAAGAGACTCTGTGACACGACTGGAGAGAAACCTGAACCTCTGATGTCTTTGATTAGAACAATTAGTCTCACTGTTAATTATTTCATCATTAGAATGAACATTTCAACTACTCCTCTCCTCCTCTTCCTCTCCTCTTCTTCCTCTCCTCCTCTTCCTCTCCCCTTTTCTTCCTCTCCTCTTCCTCTCCTCTCCTTTTCTTCCTCTCCTCTTCCTCTCCTCTTCCTCTCCTTTCTGCAGCAGAAAAAGTCTGACATGAACTTTAACTGTTTTATCTGCTTCACATGTTCATAACAGTTATAATAATAAATTTATATAATTGATACAAATTGATATATTTACATTATATCTTTAGTCTGACTTTAACAGAAATTATATTTAGACATGGAAATCATATGATCATGTGATCATATTGTTACATTTCACCTTGTTGAATGTCACTATTGGACGTGGTTGTAACTTCTCTGCAGGTGTCAGCGTTTCCTCTCATATCATATTAAGAACTTAATTCGTGATTCAGACGATGTTGCTTATAATTAACAACTCTGCCTCTTTCACATGAAGGCGCTCGTACCTGGACAGGTAAACCCAGGGTTAACTGAGCCAGGTGATAACCTGCTTCGTAGTACAGGTTATCAGGTTAATGTTAGGTTCAGTCAAGCCAGATAACTAAAAGTTATCCTGGGTATGTTGAACTTGCTTTGTAGTGCAGGCCTCTGGACGGATCAGGAACAGGATCAGGATCAGGATCAGGATCAGGTTTCCATGTTTGAGAGAGCTGCATTCCAGGTGTGTGTGTGTGTGTGTGTGTGTGTGTGTATGTGTGTCTGTGAGGTCTGACAGGAGCAATCAATACTCATCGAAATTCCATGAACGTTGAAGTGACACAACTTGTGTGTGTGTGTGACACACAGAAAGTATCACTACCTGTGTGATGTCACTCAGGTGTTGTCATGTGACACACAATGATGACGACTGTGCTCTTTTATTGTGATCAGTGTAATCCTATAGGAACAGCAGTATTGTACAGTACAGACTGAAGTTATTGATCAGTGATTGATCGATAGTGACTATTGTTTGAAATTAAGCCTTTCTGTGATTGGCTGTTCGTCAGAGTGAGTCTGGGTCACCTGTGTAGACAAAGCGTCCCGGAGCTCCTTTACAGAACTGTTTGGATTTGTACGACAGTGTGACCTCCACGACCCCGGGGATGTGACGGGGCGGAGTCTGGACCCGGATGGCGTGAGGGGTGATCAGCTGGGGAGAGAGAGAGAGAAAGAGAGAGAGAAAGAGAAAGTTTATCTCAGATGTTGTTCAGAAGAATCATTGTCATTGTTTGATGGATATATTAGTTATTGATTATTGATCAAATGCAGATTACGTCTTCTCGTATCACTGCTACACAGACGAACCCTCTGTCTCTCTGTCTCTGTGTCTCTGTCCTGACCCTCTGTCTCTCTGTCTCCTGGTGGTGGTGTCCACCACACTGGTCCTGGTCCAGACCCTGGTTCTCTCTCACCTCCCTTCACTCACGGTGAAACCCTGACAGATGGTCCAGGAGCAGCTCATCTGGTCTTTGATCACATGTTGCTGTTTTGCTCATTGACCTCCATGTGGACCATGACCTCCTGAATCAGGATCAGCCTCTAATGTTCATCTTCAGAGAGACTTCTGGGTCTGAACTCATTCAGCCTCATGCTCCTTCTACTCCACTGTGTTCCTCTGTCCTCACCATCCCTGCACACAAGACCACCTCAGTCCAGACTGTTCTGGTCTGGTTCTATCAGAGCCTGTTGAAGACTCACCTCCTGTCTGACTCCCTGACTTGTCTGACCAGCTCTGACTGTGACCTGATCTCCTTCACTGATCAAATACATGTCGACTCAGTCCTGACACAAGGTCTGTACTGAAGCTTCAGAGATGAACCTCACTGTGAGTAAATGTGATGTGATGTCATAATGTACCTCGCTCCACACCAGCATTGTGCCAAAGACGACCTGAAGGCCGTCGAAGAAGTTGTCTCCGATCAGAATGACGGTTGCTCCGCCCGTCGTCCAGCCCTCACTGGGACTGATGGCTTTAATGCAGGGAGTGGCTGCTGGACGAGAGACATAGAGAGAGAGAGCGAGAGAGAGAAAAAGAGGGAAGGAGAGAGAGAGAGAGAGAGAGAGAGAGAGAGAGAGAGAGAGAGAGAGGGGAGTAAATAGAAATGTCACATGAGGCTTGTTAGTCAGTCCTTCCAGAAAGTTGTGATGTCACTATCACAATAATTAACGCCAATTCAGCCAATCCCTATGAACTCTGTGCTCCTTCCACTTTTGTCCAATCACCACAACTTTTCCACAAATTTGATCAGAAATCATCAACGTTTCCCTCCAGTTGAACCAATCACACCAGTCCCTGATGAAAACCTTGATGATGTCACCAAACTCACTTCCTTGTTTGTGGTGTTGAAGCATGTTGTGAAGCTGCAGACACGTGTGACATGAACGTGTCACATTCACCAACAAACATCCCTGTTAAAGACGTGTGAAGACATTCAGCATGTCTTACATGAAAGGGTTAAATAGTTCTGTACAACACTGTGGTGGAGCCACAGGTGTAGAGCTGCGGGAGCCACCTGAACGACGCTCCACTACTTTTATCCTCCAGAGGAAATAAAATATCTTCAGTCACATGATCACGTTGATGTTTATCTACATTTGAAGAAGCTGAAGCTCCAATCGTCACTGAGTCTGTCATGGAGAGAGCTGATAAAAACTAATGATTGGAGCCATGTCGACATTTAAGGTGTATTGATTGATTTCCAGACATCAATCATGCATCAAGTAACACTCAAGCAAACATTCCACCTTAAAAGATGGCGGTAGCTGCCGGTGGCTGTACATACATAAAAAGCTCTACTTTATAAACTCATGACTTGATGAGGTGATTCTTAAGATCAGCTCTATCTTTGATTCAGACAGAGCAGAGGAGCAGAATCTGGGTCACCACCTGCACTCACCTGGATTCTCACTGGAACCAGTTACCTTCGATTTTTAATGAATTATACAAAGAAGAAGAAGCAGTTCACCCCCATGGGCTGAACTGCTTCTTTCACCACAGTGTGAACAGAGCTGTGAAGGGGTCTCACTGTGTTCAACCATTGGTAACCAATGGTTCAATCCAGACTCTGACCAGGTCTGAAGTCCAGGAGCACAGGTTGGGAACCATCTACACTACTGCAATACTACTGATGTACTGAGGCTGAAGGTCACACGCACGCACGCACACACGCACGCATGCACACACGCACACACGCACGAACGCACGCACGCACGCACGCACGCACGCACGAACGCACGCAGAACGTGATATAATTGGATCGTGTCTTTTATCCGCTTTAGCGTAGTTCACTTATACACACACTGACTACACACACACACACACACACACACACACACACACACACACACAGCCGGTAATGACTCCTTCTCTCTCTTCTTTCAAGTGCAGCTGCAGATTAATTATAAAGTGAAATGAAAGCGCAGCGTGTGTGTGTGTGTGGGTGTGTGTGTGTGTGTGTGTGTGTATGTGTGTGTGAAGCTGAGCAGCTAATCTCACCACTGACAATTTAGGTTGACATTACAGCACCTGACCTCTATTCTATTCTATTCTATTCTATTCTACTCTATTCTATTGGGGAGATGGATGAATGTGTGAAACCTCTGACATGTTGTTGGAGTGTGTTGATGACCTTTGACTTTGTTGACTGTCTCCCTCTGGTGAAACTGTTGTTACATTGACAACGAAGACTGTTGTGTGTTTTTATTAACATCATACATGTATTATTAACATGATACAACAGTGATGAGACCTCCAGGAACAGGTACTGTCAGTTAATGACACCAGAACCTGCAGCACCAGATCTGCATTCAGGTGCTGGCCATGAAGTCCTGAATCCAGTCTTTACTCAGACTGATTCAGACCTCTGTCTGTACTCAGACCAGTAACCACTAAACTGATCCCAGATTCACTTTAATGTCTGAGGAAAAACAGAAAGAGAGAAGAAGCAGAGAAACAGTGAAATGAGGCAGAGGGTTCAAACCCACGGGACTTTACTGAGCTCTGATTGGGAGGTGGGGTTTCCATGGTTACCATCTTTAATTAGGAGGGCAATTAAAGAGGTTGAACGGCCTGCAAAAAGACATGCATGTACGCTCACACACACACACACACACACACACACACACACACACACACAGTCCTCTCTGGGGACGGTGAGTCGTCTGGTATTTCTACCCACAAGCCACTGGGGTGATTTCCTCTTCAAAGACCAAATTACAGCTCTCTCCCTCTCTGAGTCTCTGGATGTTCAGGTTCTCTGGTCTAGGTCTCACACACTCAGTCGGACCAGCATGTTTTACAGATGAATTTAAATCAGCTGCGTTGACAAATCAGAAACTGTCCTGACAGCGCTGACCTTTGAACTGTGTGACACCACCCAGTTTAATAACGTGCTCCGCCGTGGTCAGGAGTCAGCTGACCCACACCCTGCCACAATTCAGTATCTGCTCATAGTAACTAGAGTCCGGTCCATGTGGAGATGGTGGTCTGTGACGTGGCCTCGACATGTCCGTCTACCACCTGCACACCATGACTGTCCACACGCACGCACGCACGCACGCACGCACGCACGCACGCACGCACGCACGCACGCACGCACGCACGCACACACAACTTCCTGCTTCATCACTACACCAGCTCCTTCACCACAACTGACTCGCTCTGTTGATCAGATGTTATTACTCCAGGTATGACTATAATCCCTAAAAGGCCTTTATTGTAAAAGGGATTAGATGTGGCATCCCTCAGACGTCTGTACTGGGTCCTCTGGTGTTTACTTTAGCACAGTCAGAGTTTTATCACAGCGCCACCTTGTGGTGATTAGAATCCCTGCAGCTGCTGATTGGTTACCTTCAGACGGGTCGAGTCTCCTCGCGCGGCGACCATGTTTGGAGTTGTTGTGTACGAACATGTTGTCGGAGACGGCAAGGACGTGACCATCCACGTTGACTGTTGTAGACACCACCACCTGCACACACAGAAAACTTTATTTATAACCTCCTGAGAAACAGTGTTGTTCTCCTTCATGTTGTTACTAAAGAAACTAATTTCCCAGCATGCATCACAAGATGCAAAGGTAATGTCATTCTCTGAGTGACAATTTCAGTTTTCTGTAAATTTCATGACAAAATTTAGCTTGAACAATGAATCTGAAAAAACTGACCTGGAATCTTGTGTGTAGATGTGTGTGTGTGTGTGTGTTTGTGTGTGTGTGTGTGTGTGTGTGTGTGTGTGTGTGTGTGTTCGTATGTGCGTGTGTGTGTGTGTGTGTGTGTGTGTGTGTAGATGTGTGTGTGTGTAGATGTGTGTGTGTGTGTGTGTGTGTGTGTGTAGATGTGTGTGTGTGTAGATGTGTGTGTGTGTGTAGATGTATGTGTGTGTAGATGTATGTATGTTAAATTGTGTATTCCCTAATTTGGAAAATAAAAATTGAAGACAAAAGTGAACAAGTATAAACTGCCACCTAGTGTTAAAACTTTACATGCACTGTTCACTCTGGCCCCGCCCCCTCAGTGATGTCACAGCCTCACTGTGACAGCCACTCAGCTGTGGTCATTCATCATCTGCGGCTGGTTGCCTAGGCGAGGTTGTTGTCATTGATCCATGGCGACGGAGCAGAAGGTCACACAGAGAGCGAGTGGGATTGTCCTCTGTGGCCACGGTGACTAACCAGCACATCCTTCACCCTGCTGCTGCCACGACAACTGGTGACGAGTCCGGAGGCTTCACCTGACTTCACCTGTCTGTGATCCCACCCTCTCTCTCCACATGGTCTCTGTAGCTCACTCGCCCCGTCTCCCTCCTCCTCCTCTGCTGGTTTAACTGGACTGAACATCCTGTCAGCTCGCCCAGCACAGCGTGGAGAGGAGTGTGTGTGTGTGTGTGTGACAGCAGACACATGGAGACAAAGAGGAGCTTTCCTCAATGTGTCTCCTGTATTATCCACGTTAGCAGAGACGTTCTGTTGGTCGTCCACTCTGATTCAGACTGAGACGACTCATCACATGATCAAATAACTCCCTCTCTCCTTGTTTCCTCTCCTCTCCTCTGTTGTTTAGTGGCTGGTGATTGCAGCCTGATCAGATCAGAAGACATCTCAGTGTCTCTTGCATGAGAGAGACACAGAGAGAGAGAGAGAGAGAGAGACAGAGAAACAGAGACAGAGAGAGAGAGACACAGAGAGAGAGAGACAGGTAGGTCCCTGCTGACCTCTTATATTATATCTGCAAAGCAATAAGCCTCAGGCCGCCCTGCTGCAATGCATTATGGGCACAGCAGGTCCTCCAAAGCCATGTCTTGCCCTTTAGGGAAATGAATTCATCTTTGTGTGTATGTGTGTGTTCTACCTGAAATCTCCTCATGTCTCGTGGGTTTCCAGCGTTTTTCAGACAGTTCTGGTTACACTTCAGGAAGAACTTCAAGAAGAACCTGCACACACACAAACACACACACACACACACACACACACACACGTTAATAAGGTTCATGACAGATGAGCGTGTTTTACATGAGACTCACTGACTGAAGAAATAATGGAAAGAAAAATAAGATAACAACAAATAAAAAGAAAACATGAAAGAACAGTCTCAGATTCATGTCAGTGAAAGGCAGCAACAAAAAGAAAAGTGCTAACAATCAGAGCATCAGCAGTAGAACTGTCTGTAGTATCAGTAGTAATATGGTTCTTCACTGTGGTTCTTCAGGGTTCTCTGATCAACGTTCCACACAGGCCTTGGGTCTAATGTTTCAGTTATATTTCTTCAGATCACAGGTTACTGTATGTTATGTTCAGAGGTTCTTCGGGGTTCTATTCTGGTTCTGTTGTTCCATTATAACAAACTGTTTGTCTATATGCAGACAATACAACGTTCTACAGAAGAGACAGATGGTAAAGTGAAGATGACAGCAGCAGCCTCAGAGGGTCACATGGTGTCAGGTTAGTCCATGTTGTGTTCAAATGTCTAACTACAGTCAGGTTAGCAGACGTGACACTGAAATGTGGAACTGACAGAAATCATCAGAAGAAATTGTCCCAGCACAAACAGCATCATGTTGACTCAACAGCAATGTCCATTTAGCAGCTTTTCTGGAGCTTTCCACTGTTCACGGGATCTTCCTCAGCAGACAGATCGTTGTTATTTGTGTTCACACACGCCACCACGCCCCTCACCCCAACCCCCCCCCACACACAGACACACAACAGAAGCAGGGGGGTATTTCGGGGATGGGTGGGGGTCCATCTGAAGCCATACAGTACCACATCATCATGGTGGTTTCTATGGTAACAGAGTGTAAACACACACATACACACACATAAGGACAAAAAAGATAGAATTCCCTCTCAGGCAATGTTTTTGGTCTCTGAGGGTCTGCAGTATTGATTACCCTGCATTCCTTGCTGCTCCTCTCTAATGAGCTTACAGAAGGACAAAGTGCTGACACCAGCACACACACACACACACACACACACACACACACACACACACACACACACACACACAGTCTCTGTGAACAGATGCTCTTTAAACAAATAAACAAGTGAGTGTGATCCAGTTTATCTGATACCAATATTATCAATCTGTAATCAATAATCAATACAGGAGCCTCTTATTATAAGAAAGGATGCTGGAATTAGTTACATGTCTCTGGTGAACCCTAGCTCCGGGCCAGTTCATGTTCAGATGCTCTTGGTCTAAGTTGGACCCCCATAGGAAGTGGTTTGGATCCAAGTCTGACACATCCTGAAAACACAACTTCCTGTTTCTGTCTCGTGACAGACCAGAGAAGGTCCTGAAGACCAACAGAGGGACCAGAAGAGTCTCCAGGTGAAGCTCCCTGATGAGATGTTACTATAGAATGATCAGATGACCATGACACTGCTGACTGCTCCTTTCAGTCAACGCTGCTGTCACATGACTCACAACCAGGTGTCATGATACACACCTGTACCTTCACACACACTCATCAGTTGCCTTCAGGTTCAAACATGTTCTCCACAATGTGTTCTCTATATCACGTTCTCCGCAACATATTCTCCATAGAGTGCAGCTCCACCAGGTGGAAGGAAGGGGGAGGGGCCAGGGGAGATCCATTATGCCTGGGGAAAGGGGCAAATCACTGTCTTTAACATTGTTTCCTGACGTGGACAAACGTCCCATCTCACGTCTGTGGTGTGACGTTTGGTGTTGACATCTATGACTGTACAATCTGGCAGACTCAACTTATCTACATTCCTCTTCCTCTTCACCTCCTCCTCCTCTCCTCTCTCATGTTGTCTCCTTGTCTCTCTCCATGTTTCCTTCATCTATTTCCTCCTCCTCTGAATGAGGGAGCGAACGTCAAGGTCGTAAATCTACACGCAGGACAGATTAAGCTTTCAATTTGTTATATGATAAGTAGGGAAGACCCGACACACACACACACACACACACACACACACACACACACACACACACACACACACACACACACACACACACACACACACACCATTAGTGCTCATATTTACGAGCAGGAAATTAGGACGCACAGCAAATTTATCTCCGGGAACAGCAGTCACACACGCACTGACACTGAAAACACACACATGTGAACACACACACACACACACACACACACACACATACACACACACACACACACACACACACACACATACACACACACACACACACACACACACACACACTGTGTTGGAGTTAATATGCTCTATGAGGTAGAAAATGTAGTCACAGTGTGAGGAGGAATTATACTGACGGTAATGTGATGCCACACAGTGAGAGAGAGAGTGTGTGTGTGTGTGTGTGTGTGTGTGTGTGTGTGTGTGAGATTTACTGCTGTTGGCGACTCTGCCTGTTAATCTGATGCGAGTCATTTCCACTGCTCTCTTTCTCTCTGTGTTCAGGTTCTTTACTTTAAAGCAGCTGCTGGTTGATAGTCTGATGTCACTTCCTGTCCAGCTCAGTCTCAGCAGCTGCTACAGGAAGTGATGTCATCATGATTTTAACTAAGTTACACAACAAGAAAAACTACAACTCCCATGATGCATTCATATAATGTCAACAGATTGTGAATAACTGGAAAAACTCCCATGAACTCTCTCAGAGCTTTAGACCTGTTTGACCTTTGACCTCTAATCTGGTGTTTTAATGTCCCACACATTTAACACCTCGAAGGTCGTTACTCCTTACAGTCACCTGAGTCCTGGCTTGGACAGGTGTTCAGTTGTTTCAGGTGTCGTAGACCTCCTCCTCTGTTCAGTCAGTCCTCTCAGGACTACATGTGGACACACCTGTCCTGAATCACAGGTATTTCTAAGTGACGCGACACCCCCCCCCCCCACCTCCTGAGCTGCTCAGAGTGGTTTCATTTAGAACATTCACATGATCCTTTGGTGGCTCTGAGACTGAAGTCTGAAGACTGGTGAACACAGACGCAGAGTGAAGCATGCTGGCAGATTATGATTTATCTGGTTATCACCATCATTATGTGCCAGAAGAAGCAGAGTCCAGTTATGTCTCCTCTGTGCTGCAACAGGTGTTTGACTCTGGACAGGTCTGTTTGGCTCCATGTTAGTGTCTCTTTTAAAAACACCAGTTCCAGCTCCAGCTCTTCAGTCCCCCTCCTCTTCCCTGCCCGTCTCTGTCTACCTGTCATCCATGTAAATCAAACACCACAATGTGACATTTTCAAACACTGTGTTTAGCACCGTAATACTGATGTGATGAGGTCATTGGTGAGTTTGTAGCCAATCATAGTCAAGGACCAGCTGATGCTTCCAAGGTCAAGGATGAGGATCAGAAAAGAACAGTTACCCTGACCTTAAACTAAACCTGATCCTGACCTGACCAGAATGTCCTCACAAGTCAGGTCCTCACTATGGTAGTGATACACAGAGACACACACACACACACACACACACACACACACACACACACACACACACACACACACACACACACACACCTGTCCCCACATGACTGATGTAACAATAAAACCCAAACTAAAGGAAACTTGAATAAATTATCTCTGTTGGAGCAAAAACAATTTGTATTTAATATGTAAATGAGCAGAACGTTCTGTTGTTAACGAATACATTTGAATACAAATTAGAGCAGTCAAAGATAATTAATGACAACTGCCAATTAGCAGCAGAGAGTTAATTGATTAACGAGCTGATGGAGAAGGAGAAACTAAAGAGAGAAGGAGGATGAAGGAGCTGTCAATCACAAACTGATCACATTGATTCTTTTGATGGATGAAGACCTGTGAAGGTATGAAGAGGGGAAGGAGGTCACCTGTTTCCTGCGGCAGTGTGTCACCAAACACTCAGGAGAACACAACAGAGACAGCACAGTGTTGGTTCTCTTCAGTCTGGATCCACCTGTTCTCCACCAAGATCCACATCAGACCCTACCAGTCTCAGGGCCAGATCTTAGAGAACTAAACCCCCACCTCACGGAAAAAAGTCTGCAGCACGTGTTCTTAACTTAATTGAACACACACACAGACACAGAAGGTAAATGCTCTTTAAGACGTTGAGTCCAACGCTTCTGTTTGATGATGAATCATGAGAAAAACCTTAAAGCTCTCAGTCTGTCCTGCTCTATTACTGCTCTGTGTTCACAGCCGGTGGAGCTGCATGTTTAATTCATTCACCACACACACATGCACATACACACACGCACACACACAGCGTTCATCGGTTCATGATTAGCGTGATGAATCCAATCGTCTGGACCTCTGACCTCTGCTGTAATTGGACACTAGAGAAGCTGTCAGGCAGCAGTGTGTCTTCAACACGGTGCTCTCTGTGTTCTTAGCATGTTCTCTGTATGCCCTGATTATGTTCTTAGAGAGTCCTATTTGTCATGTTTTGTATGTGTTTTGTGTTCTCAGTGTTTTTTTATTAAATGTTCTCAGTGCTTTTTATTAAAGGTTCTCAGTGTCTTTTGTTAAAGGTTCTCAGTGTTTATTCTCAGTGTTTTTTATTAAACTTTCTCAGTGTTTTTTGTTAAACGTTCTCAGTGTTTTTTAAACGTTCTCAGTGTTTGTTCTCAGTGTTTTTTATTAAACGTTCTCAGTGCTTTTTATTAAACGTTCTCAGTGTTTTTTGTTAAATGTTCTCAGTGTATATTCTCAGTGTTTTTTGTTAAACGTTCTCAGTGTTTTTTGTTAAACGTTCTCAGTGTTTGTTCTCAGTGTTTTTTGTTAAACGTTCTCAGTGTTTTTTGTTAAACGTTCTCAGTGTTTGTTCTCAGTGTTTTTTTATTAAACGTTCTCAGTGCTTTTTACTAAAGGTTCTCAGTGTTTGTTAAACATTCTCAGTGTTTGTTTTCAGTGTTTTTTGTTAAACATTCTCAGTGTTTTTCTATTAAACGTTCTCAGTGTTTGTTCTCAGTATTTTTTTATTAAACATTCTCAGTGCT